CCTTTCTTCTCTGCATTGCAGATGAAGTGAATTATTTAAACAATCTAATTAGAAAGTCACTTTTAAATGTTTTAAAAACATACCATATTAACAATAGAACCCTGAAACTAACTTTTGTTTGAAAACATAATTAAAAAAACCCCGGCAACCTACAGTCTAGTAGGATATTCTAAGACAGTATGACAAGCTAGGCTACAAAATAACATGTTTCCTTATGTTTCTTTTTTTCTAAAGCAATGAGAAAGTAAAACATTATTTACTTTACTTATTTCTTATTTATGTTTGAATTAGTTCTCTTGCATTTAACTGCAGAATTGGTATTTGTTCTGTCAAGTACATTTACCTCAGACTGATTTAATATGTATTACTTAATTCTAAAACAAATATAGTTAACTTACATGATCTGAATAGCTTGGTTAGATGTTCTGTCTATTTCTCATTTTGGAAAAGAATATAAAAGACTGAGGGTGTGTCTAGACTACAGGGTTTTGTCGACAAAAGTGAACTTTTGTCGACAAAACTATACCTGCGTCCACACTACCGCTGAGTTCTGTCGACATAACGTCGACAGAACTCAGCAGTTCTGTCGACGCTGGTAAACCTCATTTTACGAGGCATAACACCTTCTGTCGACAGAGTTTCTGTCGACAGAAGGTGTTATTGCATGTAAACTGTCCTTTGTGTCTACACTACCATGTCGACAAAGCAGCTTGCTTTGTCGACAGAACTCAATGTAGTCTAGACGCTCTTTGTCGACAGTATCTGTCGACAAAACTTCTGTCGACAGAAGCCTGTAGTCTAGACGTACCCTGAGTTAAAGTCTATTTTCATGTCTCTCGCTATCAAAAACTAAATACATGAAAGCTGATAACCAGGGGCAGCCCATGGATGTAGGAAACCTCGGCTGCCTAGGGTGCTGAGTTTAAAGCGGCGCCCAATAATGACATCAAGCCATTGAGGGCTATGGAGGCAGGGGCGCAGATCCCACATTCTGCCTGGAGCACCAGTTGCCGGCAGCTCTCCTCGAGCCGCTTCTGCTGATAACTCATCCTATAACAGGTTTTAATCAATTACTCATATGGCATTCAGTACATCAAATCATATCTTCAATGGTTATATCCAAGCTGCTTCCTGTGAGTTAAGAGTGATTACTTCTCAGGTAACCAACAGGAAAATAAACCAAATTTCATAATTTCTACCAAACATAGGGAATTAAATGAGACAACTGGACAAAGCAATCTGCTTTGAAAACACACTTAACAACAAGACATTGGTAAGGAAATTCATTCAACTGATGACAATAATCACTATTTAATCAGGATAGAGCTTTGTTATCACACTCTGCTTGATGTGGAAACTGTTGTTGTTCGTCCATCATGGTTGATGAAGACCTAAACAACACTAAGTGCTTTGAGACTGGATACAGTGTGTCCGAAGATGACTTATCAGGCCAATTCGGGCACCAAATGTCCTGGAACATGTCGGGCAGACATGTGTAGGCATTGCAATCGTTGCGCTGGTAGCTTTGGACTTGCACAGCACGCGCTTGTGTGGTGCTTCAGACATGCACCTTGTTTCGAGAACTTGGCATCCCTTGTGAATGAGACTGCGCCAGGCAGGGCAATTGTGTGCCAGTGATTCCCTGGTGGTTGTATCAATTCCGAACGACTTCAGGGTGGCCTTGAGTGTGTCTTTGTAACATTTCCTCTGTCCACCATGTGAGCGTTTACCAGTAGAGAGTTCCCCAAAAAGGAGCTGCTTAGGTATACGTTCATCCGGCATACGAATGACATGACCTGCCCATCGAATCTGTGCACTTATCAGCATAGTGTGGACTAACGGTAAACTTGCTCTAGAGAAAACCTCAGTGTCTGGTATTTTGTCTTGTCATCCGATGCGTAATATTCTGCGAAGACAAGTCATGTGGAAGTGATTAAGCTGTCTTGCGTGCCTCCGATACACAGTCCACGTTTCACAGGCATACAGGAGGGTGGTGAGTACCATGGCTCTGTAGACCTTCAATTTTGTTGCTTGGCTGATTCCTCGATGTTCCCATACAGTGGGGTGCAGTCTACCAAAAGCAGAACTTGCCTTTGCTATTCTGCATGTGACTTTTATGTGAAAGTAGTGAACTGGTCCACTGCCTGTAGCATCGGCCCTGTGACTGTGATTGTGGGTTCTGTGTACGGTGCAAAAGGGACAGGCTGATACATGACTTCGGTCTTTCTGCTTTTGATAGTGAGTCCAAAGTTGTCACAAGCTGCGCAGAACTTGTCCACACTGACTTGCATCTCTGCTTCAGAGCCAGCATAGAAGGCACAATCATCGGCAAACAAGAAGTCTCTCAGAACAGTCTCTTTCACTTTTGTGATAGCCTGAAGTCTCCTCAGGTTGAAAAGATTCCTGTCCACTCTGTACTTAAGGCTGATTCCGGCAACGCTGTCCTGGAAGGCATCATTCAGCATAGCAGTAAACATGATGCTGAACAGTGTAGGTGCGAATACACAGCCCTGTTTGACGCCATTGGCGATTGGGAATGCCTTGGAAGATTCTCCACCGTCTAGCACTCTGGCCATCATACCATCATGAAACTGGCATATCATCTGAATGAATTTGGGGGGGCAGCCAAACTTTGACATGACTCTCCACAGACCTTGTCGGCTGACAGTGTCGAAGGCTTTCATGAGGTCAACAAAGGTCGCATAAAGTTCATGATTGTGCTCCTGACACTTCTCCTGAAGTTGGCACGCGGCAAAGATCATGTCAATAGTCCCGCGGCCCTTACGAAAGCCACATTATGACTCTGGCAGGAGGCCACACTCCAGATGAGTGACCAAACGATTTAACATCACTCTTGCAAGGATTTTTCCTGCGATGGAAAGCAGCGAAATTCCCTGATGATTGTCACATACCTGTCAATTGCCCTTCCTCTTATAAAGGTGTACAATGGATGCATCCTTGAGTTCCTGAGGAATGGATCCTTGTTCCCAAAAAGACTGGAACAACTCGGTGAGCTTCTCTGTGAGTATGTGACCACCGGCTTTATAGACCTCTGCAGGTATAGCGTCTGCCCCTGGAGCTTTGCCGCTGGATAGCTGGCTAACAGCTTGTGAAACTTCGGCTACTACCGGTGGATCATCCATGGTGCCGTTGATGTCAACCTGGGGAATCCTCTCAATCGCCTCATCGTTGATAAATGATGTTCAGTTGAGGACATCTTCAAAATACGGTTGAGGATGTCTTGTTCCAGGTAGGTAGGCGGAACGTTGTGTTGGTGATAAGGAGGTCGTGCTGCACAGGTCTTCAGTAGGAGTAGGTCATTGCTGTTACATTTGCCCACTCCATGTCTGCCAATGACTCCATGCCATGCTATTGAATGCATCCTACTCTTGCATTGAAGTCACCGAGCAGGATCAGCTTGTCGGTGCTACTCACAGCGGATAGTAAGGCATCCAGTTCTTGATAGAACCTGTCTTTCATCTCGTTCGGGTTAGTCATTGTGGGAGCATAGGCACTGATCAGAGTGGCTTGGTTTCTATTCTGTAGCGGAAGCTGTAGTGTCATAAGCTGATCTTTCACACCCTTGAGAAGACTGGCAAATTGCCAAACAAGGTGATTCCTGACAGCTAATCCAACTCCAGCATCGCGACACTCATCAGTGCCACGACCGCTCCAGAAAAAAGTATATCCACCTCCAGTTTCAGTTAGCTGACCTTCATTAGCAAGACGAGTCTCACTGAGGGCTTCAATATCAATGTCTCGACACCACATTATCGGTCAGGGAGTGTCAGCACCTCTGGTGGCTGAACATGTCGCATCCTTTTAGGGTGGTTCATCCACCTTTGACTCCCACCTGGCACCCAGCTCTCACCTGTGGCTCCTCGTAGCTGTTTGCATGTGACAGCGGCCACACCCCGGGCAACGGCTTCGACTGGCCGGACAAACCAGGTGAGGGTAGCAGACGGGCCCAAAACCCTCGGTGAGACAGGAAGTTGTCTATCCCAGCATGTGAAGACAGACTCCAGCAGATTGAGTGGATGAGACCAATCGAAGGTCCAACAGTCAAGAAGGCGGTCTCCGCAAGTGTCGTGGAACGCGTAGAGCAGGACAAGACACAGAAGACGTCCTAGTCACCCACTGCGCCCAGTCCCATCTCCAGCCGTCTTGACTTTCGTCTTGCTACTGGATCCAGATGGGATTTGGGAAGAGAGAGTGAGGTTGACGCTGCTCAACTTTTCCTCACTTAAATCCAAACTGTGCGCGCAAGATGCGGAAACTACAAGGAGGTAAATATTGTTTGACCACACTGAAAATTCTAATTTTCAATCTTTGGGTACGTCTAGACTACATGTCTCTGTCGCCAGAGGCATGTAGATTAGGCTACCAGGCATAGGAAAATGAAGCGGCGATTTAAATAATCGCCGCTTCATTTAAATTTACATGGCTGCCGCGCTGAGCCGACAAACAGCTAATCAGCTGTTTGTCGCTGGACGCGCGGGTGTCGACATCAAAGGCATTTGTTGACCACCCAGGTATACCTCATCCCAGGAGGCATACCTGGGTGGTTGACAAATGTCTTTGATGTCGACACCCGAGCGTCCAGACTACCGCGCTGAGCTGACAAACAGCTGATCAGCTGTTTGTCGGCTCAGTGCGGCAGCCATGTAAATTTAAATGAAACGACGATTATTTAAATCGCTGCTTCATTTTCCTATGCCTGGTAGCCTAATCTACATGTCTCTGGCGACAGAGTCATGTAGTCTAGACGTACCCTTAGTTATGCAAGATGGTACTATTATGAAAATTTGAAAGTAACTTCTGAGCCCAGGCGTTTGTGAAGAGGCCTACTTAAAATGAATGAGGCTCCCACACTAAAGAATAATAAAATTGGGATTACTCAACCATGGCACAAATGGGTAAGAAGGCATTTATATACTAGAATCAATAACTGTGTATAAACACACACACAAAAATCTTACAGATTTTCCACAGTCGTTTACCTTATTTGTTGTCTTAATTCCTATAAATGTCTGTCCCAGTGGTACAGGTCGAAAACGGCCATCAAAGTAGAATAGTCCAATGTAAGGATTAACATGTAGGAATGTAGCTACATCAAGGTAATTGGGTAATGTAGCCGAAAGGCCCAAAATCCTGATCATGCTCTGTGTAGATTCAACCTATATATATAAAAAAAGAATGACTTAGATATAAGTAAAGGATCTGAGTTTTATAAATTAGATACAGAAAAGGATTAAAATATATTTCATAAAATAAATCTTAAACAGCGTGATACAAACAGCTAATAGTTTAAACATAAGAGAACAGAACATATGCTGGTGTCTCCTATACTCTATTCAACACACCTCATATCCATTAAAACATTCTAATATCTCTTCTCATTAAAACATGTTACTGTACCCAATAAAGTTAATAATTTTGTACTACTATAAAGAAGTTGTATCTGTAATAAAAACCACATTTAAAAAGATAATTACAGGGTCTAGTTGAGGAAGAGTTAATTAGCCTCCCTTGCTCTAACTCAGACCACAGATGTGAGGTTTATGAACCTGAAGACAAGACCAAGATAGCTGTTTAAATGTTATAAATAGGTTAATTCATGTCTAACATTGCTGTCTGCCCTTTGCACTGATATTCAGTCACTACTGAAAAAAAACTCAACTAATGACTCTATAACAATGTTTTTAACGTAATGACATAATATATCAAATTTCTTGATTAGAAACACACATGTAAGCTTTTGTTGTATGACATTTCTTTTCACGACTATGTATATTACATGTATTCAGACAGTAATTTTCAAATACATTTTCTCTTTTCTTACTATTCTAGTTTAGTTTGCATAAATCTCAGACCAATCTTGCTCAGTCTCCAGTCCTGCACCTAGGGGTTCTGCTGCTGCCTCTGCATGTGGGGTCTGCCTGCCAGCCCCATGCCCGGGGCTGCACACATTTCCCTAAGGTGATACAGGACCACGAGAGAGTGTGTGTGTGTGTGTGTGTGCGCGCGCGTGTGTGTATAAATAAAATGGCAGAGGTTAAGTAACTCTGCACAGTGAAAGATGATCTGCAGTGTTAAAAATAATAGTGTAGATGTTTAGGCTTGGGCTGGAGGCCAAGTTCTGAAACCTGATGTGGAGCGAGGGTCTCAGAGGCCAAGGTCCAGCCTGAACATATACACTATAACTTCAGCCATGCAGCATGAGTGTAAGTCAATTGACCTGCTGTGACGGGGTTGCCCTGCCACGCCACCTCTGGGGCGAGTGGATTAGCACTCCCAGGTGCTGCCACGCATGCTGCGGTGGCAGTGTAGTGGGATTAAAACCCGAGCTTGTGCAAACGGAGGGGGCAGAGGAGTGCATTGGCACAGAGGCGGCAGAGAGCCAAAGAGAGCTGGCAGCAGCAGGGGAAGCTGCAGGGAGAGGTCCCAAGCCAGAGAGAGCTGGGCTCTGGATATCCTCTGGGAAGCCCGAGCGGAGGCTGCCAGGGATGAGGCTGCCTTCCTCGGGGAGGGAATTCAGCTGCTCACCTCCTCGACCCTTACCAAGGAGTGGACAGACCTGAGGGTTGGTGGACACCGTGGAGGACGATCACCATGTGAGGTGCCAGTTAAAGACCCATCTTTGAAGGGCCCACATAGGCCTACCCCGGCCTCGTCTGGCCAGTCCAGGAGGATCCCTCGCGAACGACCAAGACGGTGGTTCATGGACTTCCGGGGGTAACCCCGACGCAGAGTTGCCAATGCGCGTCAGGCTGCTGCCCCAATGGGAGAGACGATGGAGTTGGTGGGTAAGACCAGTTGCCAGCTCTCCGGGGAAAGGGCATCACAGGAATATCTAGGAGGGGTAGGAGAGGACTAGGGCAGGGAGTAAACTTGCTCCTGTGAGGGTTGGTGAGTTGCGTTTTTTTGCCCCCGCCAGGCGGATAGTGGAAGGATTCCCTACCCTTTGGGCCCTGGGCCAGGACCTGGTTGAGAGGTAGGGCCCGGGTCCATTTTCCGCCCTGCGTGTCAAAACACACCTTCATTACTTTAGGGGCTGAAGCTGAGGATGGTCTAGCCTGGCTGCAGGACCCGAGACTGTAAAACTATCTGGATATAATTCAGCTCCAGTTGGTATAAAGGCCAGGAGCTGGCCCCAAGGCGGGCCTAAAGACTAGAGACCCATGGGTAGTGCCCCGTGGGCTACGAGCTGCTGTGACACAGGCCCCTGGCCCAGTTGCTTGTGCAGACTCTCTCCCACAGGTGAAGTGGGCCTAGAGTAAACTCGGGACGGGGTGCTCCCCGCATCCTCGAGGAAGATTCACTATCACACAAAACCTTAGGCTTTCCCTGGTGGGCTTTCCCTGGTCTCTGAGATTTGCTGACATAAGCATTTTTTGACTTGATGTTTTTAATTTGCTTGTTTGGTGTTTGCTGTGCTTCATTCTTAATACCAGTCCCAGACACTTTCATCTTCTTTTCTGCACAATTTTGGAGATAAGAAGTTGAACTCAGACAAATTTACAGAGGCATTTGCTTTGGAAAACCTTTAAAGGTCTATGTCTTTGGTGGAGTTCCAGTTTTCTCACCCATATGCTAATGATGTAAATAATATCTGAATTGAAGATCTGTAGTTTGGTCTTTATATTAGATATTCAAAGACAAAATCTGGCTTAGGTTAGCAAATACAGCCAATTTAGGGCACTATTTCTACTGAACATTCACATTAGATTATACGTTACTACTAAGGTTTATGAACAGATTTCTCTGTCCTTTTGTCTTTTAAGATTGTTTGATTGGTGAGTTGCTAGGGATCTCTTATTTCATAACTAATTTTAACCCTGTCTTTTTAGCAGTGCTGGAAGATCTTGGTCTTTGCTTGCATTTTTATTTTTCACTTAGAAGAGCTTTATGATCAGAAAAATCTAAGTCTGTGTTGTTATGTCATAAACTGTCTGTGTTGCATCAGTCTACACCTTTTTAAAGATGAAGACAATGGGAATGCCAAACAGGAAAGACTGCAACTTTATTTGACACTAGTGTTCTGGAGGCTTTTCCTGGTATCATACTGTAAGTTCAAGAAAAAAGATTACTCATGCAGCATATTGTTTTCACTCGTTGACTTTTATTTTAAAAAATGTTTCTTTAATGTCTTTGTACTATGCCAAGTGTGATATCTTAATTTACAAATATAGTTTCAGTTTATCTGATCACCATATAAATATTCAACTGAAAAAGATGTTTTGTTTTAATCTCCTTCTCTCACCAACTAAAAAACACCCCCTACCGCTGTAGCCAGACAGGAACCCCTCTGTAACATCCATTTTTGCTTTCCTGGAGCATACAGGGCACACAGAGCAGTGAAAGCCTTGAACAGAATGCCCAGGCTGTTGTGACCCTGAATGGCTGTAAACAGAGATACACCAATTGCTGACCAAGAGGCTGCTGAGGAGTGCCCTTGACTGAAACCCATATTGATACAAACACACAGCCGACCACGGCGGGGAGGAATCTCTCGCCCATTAAAAAAATATGTCTAGTTCTCACAACTTAGTTATCGCTCTTGCAAGTGTAAATTAAGTTGAAACTCCCTTGTAAGAACTGGCGCCACAAAAACGGACCAGTACAATTTGGCATCTTAGATAAGAAAAAGGATACGGGCCCCTATGGGTATAAAGATGGGTCCAGCAGCACATTTACTCTGAGTGTCAATCTACCATCTATCTGCTGGTCGGGTTAGGTGTTTGACCTCCCAAGGTTCCAAGGGGACGCCCACCTCGTATTCGTCTTTCCTAGGAATTGAGGGACCGGCCCTTGCTTGACCCGCTGGAGTCGAGAGGCACAGAAGGGGGAAAAATTGTACCTGGATGTGGTCCTTTGTCTTAAGTGTACACATAGACTTAGAGCTCTTTAAAGATTAAGCTGTCACTTGGTACCATTATTTCTATTTTCTATTTTTATTTTCTTTGTAACCATTTTAAGATCTATATTTGCTACCAGTTAAGAAAGAGAGCAATAGCCATTGTAACCATATGCTTTATAAGCTTCTTTAATAAACCTGTAACTGTTTAAGCTTTAACGTGATTCCTTCAGTTGCTGTAACAGAACCAAGCACAACTTAAAAGAACTTCAGCCGGTCATAAGGGACAGGTATAGGAAGAGCTTGAGCATTTTGGATCGTGTCACTCCCAGGCGACAGATCCGTTGGGGCATCTCTCAGTCTTCCCTAGACTGCCCGCTGCGAAGGGATCCTGTACCTTAGCAGCTGAAATCTGAGATGTAATAAGCTCTTCCTTGTAAAATCTGGGGTGTCTGTCAGCCTGCTGACTGCCCTCCGCAACAGGATCCCGGTCCTAGCGGTAAAGTCACGGACATTAAACCTTTTCTCGGTCACTCACACGCGCACGCACACACACGCACGCACACACACAGCCCTGACCATCGGCTGACAACCCCATAATAATTAACAAGGTTTCCTACAAATTTCCAACACACAAACATCCCCCCTCCAACCCATTATATTGGGCTTGGAAATATGAGAAATTTCATCACTATTTTTTTTACTTGTAAACTACTGATAACAGGATCATTGTCTGAATCATAACCGCTTTGCTAGAGTGGCTTTAATTCCAAAAAACTGGCATAGATTTAATCTAAGGATACTGGTGCAGTAGAGAGGAAGTTTCACACTAGATACCTAATTAGTTTCTCTGAAATGCATGAAGGATGAAGGAAGTGCCTGATTTTCTGCCTGATTATCTCCTATCCAAAGTAGAACCAAATAGGTCTTGAATATCAGGAGAGCAAAGGACTGGGTGCTTTGCATAAAGACAAAGCAAAGAAGTGTGATACCCTGATTGATGTGGAAGCATTAAATGTTCTTGAGAAGAGAGAGAGAGCTGCAGATAGACAGACAGACAAGGTTTTCAGGGGACATGAAGAGAACATTTCTGATGCGAAGATAACCCTAACTTTCACACCTCTGTGCAGAGATGGTTACAAGCAGCACAATAACTGATCGTGAAAAAAAATCATACATACATAAGGAGAAGTAGATGTCCAAGTGGTCAAAGTATACTTGTAAAGTAGTGAGTACTGCAATCACAAGTTAGGTTTGGATCATTAGGCTGTGCATACAATAGGATTGCCAACTTTCTAACTGCATGGGAGGACTGGGGCA